AAGTTAGATGCCTTATCGATAAAGAGAATGCCGAGTGAAGTTCAGTTTGTTCAAGATGATATCCATAGTTGTGGAGTATATGCTTGTATGTACGTTGAACGTATGCTTGAGTTCATATAGAAAGAAAATGGCATTAGTAATTTATGCTCATAGTATTCCCGAGTCGAATTAGTATCATATTTTGGGGCTTTTGTTGTGTAATGCTATTGCAAATTGTAATGTATTTGGTACTTTGAGGACCTTGAGGTTACATCTATTTTGCATTTGGACCTAATATTTGAAGTGTTGTTGCAAATATTTTTACTGGAATCGAAAGATTCGAACACCGAAATTAGGATGGTGATCAATCATCAAAGAAAGACATAACACTCATCAATGAAAATAAAAAGAGAACTTACGATTAATACGCAATTCAATGTCGAAAGAACAACGAGAAATCCAAATCGATATGATGATTGATGACGTTTTTATGCTCCAAAATCCAATCCCAGATGAAAACAAAGAGAAAATATGTATGAGGCAATGCATTCATTAACTCAATCCATGCTTTGTCATGATCTTTCTTGAGCAGCGCCATTGATTTCTCATGAACAATGGGGGAATAGCTGTACGAAGCTTTCATGTATAAGTGAACTACTTCACGACCAAAATTTCGAATATTTTGACGTAAGTGGTACGTGCAAATAACATGAGTTGCTTCGGGATAAACAACCTCCAAAGTCGATTTGATGCTTGGGTGACGATCAGAAACAATGACTAAGTTTTCGGGACATCCGTATACATTACGAAGCGTATGTAGAAACCACGCCCAAGTATTGTGCTCTTCCTTGTCACCTATACCAAAAGCCAATGGAAATATCTGCTCATTTCCATCTTTTGTTGTTGCTACGAACAAAATGCCTTTATATTGACCCTTCAAATGGGTACCATCAACCACAATCACAGGGCGACAATAATTAGTGAAGCTGTTGGATGCATGTAAGGTAAAGAATGCGTATTTGAACACATCATCGTCATTTGTCTCATAGCATGTGGTGGTTCCAGGATTTTCTCTCATCAACATATGAAAATATCCAGGCAAGAGTTCCCAAGATTTATTATGATTTCCATAAACGAAGTCATACGCGACATTATGAGACTTTAGTGCTTTATTGTATTTGAGCGTAATCCCATGATCACGCTCCATGTCACTCATTATATCCCTCGGCTTTAATACTCGCCCTTTTGCCAACAACTTCGGCGCAAATAAAGCTCCAATGATCATGGAAGGCAATTGTCTAGGGGCTGAGCGACTGAGGTCGAGCATACATGTATGATGGTTGAATTTACATATTTTCCAATTACCATCAACCATTGCATTAGCACGAAGTAAAAATAGGCAGTCTTTATGCTTGCAGACAGACTCAAATCGAGATTGTGATGACCTTCGTGTTCGATATTCCACTTTGTGTTGCAAGTGGTAGAATCCCAACCTCATTATCAGTTCTTCCTTCCTACCAACTATCATGCCTTTAAACAATTCAGATTCTGAGTCTAACACAGGAGGAGGCTCTTGGACCCGAGTTTGCACATCCGGAAAATGATAAGTTACTCCGGGAACCATCCAAGCATTTCTCGAATGCAAGTTTCATTGTTCAATGAATGCATCTTCATCAGGAGTATCACTTTTGGAAAGGTTAATTGCTGGCACATTATGAATATTAATACTCTTCCTCCGACCAGTGTCCTCATTTTCATTATCCTGCTCGAGTTGCACATTCTCGTCAACATTTTCGTGTCCATTCTCGTGGACGTTCGCTTCTCCATTGAAATCATCATAATCCCGACCATCATTGATGTCCTCATTTTCATTATCATGCTCGAGTTGCTCATTCTCGTCCTCATTTCCGCTTTCAGTCTCGTGGACGTTCGCTTCTTCATTCAAATTATCGTAATATCGACCATCATCCTCACCATCAAATGTACTATCTTTACCCTAATCAACATGGTTTGAAAAATCACTTTCAACAGCTCGAGAAGCGGAATGTTGCACTATATTGTTACCAAAACCAACATTTGGGTTGCTTTGCCAATGTAAGTTCGCAAGAGATGGAACGGTAACACCATATGGATAAAACGGCTGACCTTGAGCAGCAATTAAGTTCAAAAATCCTCCTTGCCCCCCCGCAAAAGAATGAAAGTTGGTTGGTGGTTGAGTAGAAAATTCACTTACTCCACGATCTTTGGCGAGCAAGGTAACATATATAGTAGGTACTTGGAACAATTCGGCCAAATTGTGCAAGTCAGATTCACAAGATATTTTTCATTTTTCCAACTCTCCATTTTCATTCGCCATCAAGAAGTGAAATCGATACTCACATGTGTGTTTGTCTCCACTAACAATGTCATTAACTCTATTTAAAAAGTCTTCATACGATAAACTCCCCAAGCGCATAAAGTTCATCTCTGCCTGTCCATTTTTATAAACATTCTCATCCCAAATTCCGCTATGCACAATTCGAACTTTTTCACACATCTGTAAACCAAAGATGTAAAAGTATTTAATGACAAACAATTTCAAATAATTATTTGAGAATTAAGTAATTAATGTTTATAACAAATCAAATAAAATGGTTTATAAAATGATTTTTGAAATCACACAGATTTCTGGGACAAGAATTTAATGACAAACAATTGCAAAACAGATTTTTGGTCCAGAAATTGAATTTCTGGTCCAGAAATCACATTTCTAACCCAGAAATCTATTTATGGACTAGAAATCGATTTCTTGTCCAGAAATCACATTTCTAACCCTGAAATCTATTTCTGGACTAGAAATCGATTTCTTGTCAAGAAATCGATTCATTGTCCCAAAAATCGATTTCCGGTCCATAAATCACATTTATGGGACTAGAAACGAGATAATCTAGAAAAACGATTTCTGGGAACCAGAAATCACATTTCCGACCCAGAAATCACATTTCTGACACAGAAATCAATTTGTTCACATTTCTGTGTCAGAAATGTGATTTCTGGGCCAGAAATCGATTTTGTGACAAGAAATCGATTTGTTCACATTTCCGTCCCAGAAATCGATTTATTGGTCAGAAATGTGATTTCAGGCCCAGAAATTGATTTTTTGTCACGAAATCGATTTCGGTACCAGAAATCACATTTCTGGGACTAGAAACGAGATAATCCAGAAAACGATTTCTGGGTCCCAGAAATCACATTTCTGGCCCATAAAATAAATTTTTGACCCAGAAATTGATTTCTGGATCGGAAATGTGATTTCTGGGCAAGAAATTACTTTCTGGACTAGACATGAGATGATCCAAAAATCGATTTCTGGGACAAGAAACGAGACTATCCAGAAATCGATTTCTGGGCCCAGATTCGATTTCTGGACCCAGAAATCAATTTCTGGGCCCAGAAATCATTCAATGTTCCAAGAAATCTATTCTACAATTTTTTTTTGCCATATTCATTTATTAATTTTAATAGTATATATATGTGGCCCATTAAAAAAAATTATAACAGTACCTTTACACTAGTATTCCCGAGATATCACCGGAATGTTGCAGGAATGAATATAGAGAGAATGAATTTTTTTGTTTTTTGTTAAGAGAATGATTTTTTTTTTTTGAAGAGAGAAGAGAGATGAGGATAATGGAAGAGAGAAGAGAGATAAACTTTTTTTTTTTAAAAAAAAAAAAATATAGTAAGGGCATTTAAGACTTTTCATGTGCCAAAATGGCTAAAAAAGATTTTTTTTCAAACTATGGCTAATTTGTGTTCATCATTTTTACATGGCTAAAAAAAAATTATCTTTATATTTAAACTTATATTTTTGTTAAGTTAAAAAATTTAAATACTTATTAACTTAATTAAGAAATATATATTATTGACCAGTCTATTCAACTACTTCTAATCAGTCCATTGGAAACCAATCCGTTCTAATGAATCAAACCGTTTAGTTGACTGATTCTCGATTCAACAACAAGTTTGGCCGAACTTGCAAAGTTGGTATTACTTTTATTTTTATTTTCATTTATAAATTTTATTAATCTCTAGAATTCTATATTTCTAATAAAATTAAATAATTATTATTTTTTAAATATATTTATTATCTAATAAAAAATAATTTTAAATACAGAAAATATTGTATAGTATTTTTTTTTTTTTTGTCTCAAAACTAAATTTTAACTATCAAATATTGTTAGATACTCACGGAATAAAGTTTGCAACAAAAATTAGTAATAAAACTATTTTTTCAATATTTGGGACTAAATTTGCAACAAAACCAATCTTATGAGATTATATTTGTAATTTTCTCCCTTTTCAAACTAATGACAAACGGTGATTTAACGGTCAGTTAAATTTGAGATCAATTGCGCAATAAAAATTAGTTAAGGATCAAATATGCGCTTGATGGAATTAAAATTAAGATCACTTAAATTTAAGGAGAGCAAATTTACAATTTTCTCCTAAAAGGTAGGCTCACCAAACTTTTGACTTCATAACATAACATAAATGAAATTCAAAATATATATTTCTTTTTTTTTTTTGGTACAATGAAATTCAAAATATTAGTTTGCAAGAATCACCACGTGCCCAGCTATCGCTAATGTGGTGCCGAAGTATTGAATTATCTCCACGTGTCCACATCTCGCTACGCGTGTCCAACTCAAAACACCATATAACAAACCACCGCACGAGGGCAAAACTTGCAACAATCCCCTCTCAAACAATGGCGGCCATAGTCCGAAACGCAACTCTCAGCCTCTCTAAGTCCGCCCACAACCCCGCCACTGCCGCAGCCCTCCGCCTGAAAATCTCCGGCGTCGGCTCACCTCCGCCTCCCGACATCCCGAGGTAAATTAAAAAAAAACAACTAATTTCCATTAATATAATTTACGAAATAAACGTCTTCTAAGCTAACCCAACAGGACGACAAGGCTAAGGATTATGCGGATGACGTGAAGGCGAAGATGGATCGGGCCAAGGAGAAAACCGAGGAAATGAAGGAGAAAGCCAAAGGCCACGCGGAGGCCATGAAGGAAAAAACCGGGGACGCGGCTGGGTTCGCACGGGCCCGGGCGGAGGAAATTAACGAGAAGAGCAAGGAGACTCTGGGTCCGATGGCCGACAAGGCCCAAGAGATGCGGGACAAGGCGATGGGCTCGGCCAAGGAGACGAAGGACCGAACCATGGAGAGGGCCCACAAGGCGAAGGAAGGGGCCAAGGGGATGGCGGAGAAGGTGGCGGACACGGCCAAGGGAACGGTGAGGAAGATAAAAGAGACAGTGGTCGGGAAGACTGAGGAGGAGGAATTAGAGGATTACGTGGAAGACCACGTGGGCAAGGGGAAGGATGTGGATGATGACGTGGTGGATAAGAGACAACTGGAGAAGGAACGGAAAAAGTATTAACTGTAGTCTATACTCATCAGTTGATGGGGCGGTGATTTAATTAAGGTTTTTTTTTTCTTTTTTTTTTTAATAATGTTGACAAGTTTTAAACAACCAGACTTGAGTATGTTAATTAGACAAAGGTCGAGTATTTGTGAAAACAACGAGTTTGAATAAGCAGGTCCAGCTCGGGCCCAGGGCAAGCGGCCCAGGGCCCAAATAAAACTTCAAGCACTTCAGAATTTAGACGGAATTGGGCTCTTTTTTTTATTTGGGCCCTGGGCTACTTGCCCTGGGCCAGAGGATCTGTTTATTCAAGCTCGTTGTTTTCACAAATGCCCGAACTTTGTTCAATTAACAAACTTAAGTCTGGTTGTTTTGGTTGTTTTCTGATGTGCTCGAACTTGTTTAATTAATAAACTTGAGTCCAAGTGCTTTCACAAATGCACAAATGCTCGTATGTTCTTCTTCGATCGACCTCTTGCATAATCGTATGCCACTATGGCTGCGGCTCTATGGTTTATATATATACCTGTGTATAATTATAGGCTATTCAGCCAATACAATTTTCTCGTCCACTTTATTTCATTTAATTGTGGAAATTGATCGTCACATTTATCTTAATTAATGTTTGCCGGAATTAGGTAGGGCTTGGGCCACCGGAGGAGAGGTTCATCCGGATTGACGAAGCTAGGGCAAAAAGAAAAAAGGGAATTGGGGATTTTCTTGGGGCAGGAAGAGCGTAGTGGTGCAAAATTTTTTCTTGAAGATATTTATTTTTAAACTAAAGTTACCCTTTTGTTTTTATCTCATTAGCCAATTCTTTAAAATAACAAATTGATTTTCATGGCATACCAAAACGACATAAAATCGCGTAATTAATAGTTATAACAATATTTATAAATATCTTTTCAACATATTAGTTGGTGCCAATGCCTTAAATTTATAAAATTGCATTATTCATTATATTTTATACAATTTACAAAGTAATTTTAATATAAGCAAAATACTTTATAATTACATTTTTTATTTTTTTTAATGTTTAAATTTATAAAATGTGATATGCGCATTATATAATTTGCAATATTACAAGTTAAATATCCATATAACTTGTACTATTTTATTTATACATATTCATGCAATATTACAAGTTATATATCCATATAATTTGTAATATTTTATTTATACATATTCATGTGTACGGAATTGGGTACTAGTAAAATTTCAACAAAAAGAAAAAAGAAAAATCAATAATTTGACATTCATATTTATTTATTTATTTATTTTTTCATATTTAACTGGACTAAAGTTGCAAACTTACATGGGGCCAATAAATTATGTGTCTATGAGTTATATCTGCTAACTGTAATTATGATCAGTATCAATATAACCAAACGTGCTACTAAAGCCCAATATACTGCACAATCGTATGATTAAATACAGTTGGTCCTATCTATGGATTATATATGCTAATTGTAATTATGATTAATTAGTGTCAAACCAAACGTGCTACAAAAGCCCAATATATTGCATAATCCCATCATTAATAACAATTGGTCATTATTAACTCACACGTCATGACCTACGTGGTGTGCCAAATATCCCAAATTTTATCTATTTCAGTGAACAAAACAAAATCATAAAAAACTTTATTAGATATAAAATTGCCAAATTGGGTAATACTAATTTCCATAATATCTATAAATATGTTGTCCAATTAATGAATTAATGCAATAAGTAAATGAGAGGGCTGAGTGCAGCGGGAGACCCGGCGGCGCAAATATTGAAGGGCTGACCGACATTGGAGTGGTGTGTGTGTGTGAGTGACCGGCGGCGGTGCGCTTTGTGTGTGTGTGCCGGCAGCAAGGCGTGTGTGTGTGTGTGAGAGAGAGAGAGAGAGATAGAGTGGGATGGTGTGATGGGTAGTGGCCACGTGACATGGAATTATTGGGTGAGGGTGAGTGTGTGGTTGGTAGGGCTGAGCACGGGACTCGGAGAATTTCGAACTGTTCCAAAAATCAAACTGAAATCACTCCGAACCGAAATATAACCGTTGACCGTTTGACTTTTTCCGAACCGAACCGAACCGAAAAAATAATTGGTACAGTTCTGGAGATTTCACAAATATCCGTACCGAGAACCAAACCGAACCGAACCGTCCCGTACTGTAACGAACCGAAATTAAGAACCGAATTATAACATTAGATGTGTTATTAATATATTATATGTCAATTTTTGATTCTATATAATATAGTAATAAATATTAAACATTCACTTAAATTTCATGCTTAGTAATACTTGATCTACAATTGAATTTTTTCTATTATAAAATAATTATTTAAAATAATATGAAAGTTTAAAGAATTTTTTTTAAGAAAAAATATTATAATTTATTTGAATTTCGAATTTTTAATATTAGTTGCACAAATTTAGTTATACCTAAAATTTAGAGTTACTTATAAGGTTGATTTCAAAATAAAATCTTTAATGTGAAAAAATACTGATAAATGTTTGTTTTATAAAGCATATAAAAATTAAATAACTAATATTTAGAGTTAATTCTAGAATTGATTTCAAAATGAAATCTTCAATATGATGAATTATTGATGAATATTGTTTTTTAAAGCATATAAAAATTAAAATATAACTAGATAGTCATTCAAAAATAATTTTAAAAAATAAAAAATCTCTGAAGATCCGAACCAAATCATACCGAACCGAACCGTCCCAATAGTCCAGAATACCGAACCGAACCAAACCGAAAAATAAGAATCTCCGAACCGAACCGAATCGACTTTTTGGTACGGTTCCGAAGATCGAATTTTGAGATCTCCGAAGTTTGGTACGGTTTTGGAGATTTATTAATCTCCGAACCGTACCGACCTGCGCTCACCCCTGGTGGATGGTATGAGCCCCACAATTTGATAAGAAAAATGTCCAAAGTTCTCTTAATGAATACAGTTTTGTTATGGTGCCATCAGATGACACGACTTATGGAGCCATCTACACTTATTCGCAAATAGTGTATTGACACGTATCCTGTAATAAATACACTTTGGACATATGTCAATACATTGAGTGATAAATTACTCCATAAGAAAACCATCTGATGGCTCTATATAATTTTTGTTAATGAATATATAAATATTGGATTTTTTGTTACCGTTGGATAATCAATTTTGATAGTTACGATGTATTATTATTTGTTTCACTAAGCATCATTCTCACCGGAATGGACTATTTATATAGGCAAAGAACTAATGACTAAAAAATTTTGTTTCCTGCCAAAAATCGTTACTTCACTTATATTCTTTTTTTTCTTTTGCGATTAGATTTTGCAATGCTTTGAATCGTTAGTTTATATAATGCAAACATTTCCCTGACTTTTAATATATATTTTTGGGAATACATACATAAAATTAAAAAGTATGTTTATACATTTTAATCATTAGTTTTATAGTCATTATCCTAACTATATTATAATAAATTATAAAGTTTTATTTGAGATAAATATTAAGAAATGAATATATATATATGTGTATATATATAATTGTGAGCTATTGATTTAATTATTCTTTTCTCATTTTTTTATTTGATCTTAAAACTAGCCGTTATATTTCGCGTTAATTAATTTTAATAGAATTTTTTAAATCATTCTACCATAATAATATTGCTACAAATATTAACTTTATACAAATTCAAATTAAGAAGATTAAAGCACTTATAAAAAAATACAGTAACATTTTTTCTTTATATTATTTATTAAAACTAAATATAATATTTTATTTTTTATTTGATTAAGCATTTTTTAGATATCTAATTGGTGTTGTGACATAACAAACCTTTTAAAAACCGCATAAAGGATTTCTATAATAATAATAATAATAATAATAATAATAATAATAATAATAATAATAATAATAATAATAATAATCCAATATATTTTTTCTTCTTTTTTTCTTTTTCTTTTTTTTTATATGAGTCATTTTTTCCAAACTAGTATAGGACTTGTATGATGCACAAAGATTTATTATTTATGTCCATTTAAAATACAATTTTGAATCAAAATTCAAATTATATAATAAAAGACAAATTATGCCATTACTAATTATTAAATATAATGAAAATAAAATCTATACATTATTGGACACTTCTTTACCTAATGATATGTATCTCTTACAAAAATTTCGAATCTCGAGAACATCAACACCGATGAGTAGGATCACATCGTTTGATGTGGTTATTCGAATGTCATCTATATTAATCAAGATCATATAGTGTATAAAAGTTATTGTAGTCATTATATATATTTTACGCAATCTATATGGTGATTCATTGAAATAAAAAAGTTTGAATTGGTTATCAAATTTGATATTAGTTTGTTATAGGTTATAATTTTAAATATAATAATAATATATATGACTTATGATATTTTTATTTTCATTTATGCATGTGCAAGTTTTAGTGTTTGTTTACAAGATGGTCCAATGCATATGTAATATTAATTATTTAGTGTTTGAATTAATTTAAATTTGTTTGAATCAATTTATATTTTATTTTGTTAAAAAATTATGTTTTATTATATTAATCCACCAAATTTTGCATCGTCTATAGTAGAAAACAATTGTTATGTTGGAAATAATAAATTTTATAGATAATATGTTGAGGAACTAATTGTAAATAAATATTGCGAAATTGAGAATTATATAAAGCTTCTACCAAAATCAATATTTCATTTTCCGAACAAGCTTTTGCAAAATTGTTTTGTTTCAATCTGCATTTCTAGATAGTTACTAAGCATGTACAATGCATTGAGTCTAGTCTTGCCTATGTGGCATGTAAATAAACTTAAGTCTTCGATGACATGGATAAAAATATGCAAAATTGATAAAAGTTACTCCAATGCAAAGAGACTAGGTCTCTACTTTGGTCTAAAATAGACTTAAGGGTAGACCGAGTCTCTTTTTCTGGCTGCCACGTCAGCTGGACCCAGTCTACTTTTGTTTGCATTGGAGAATACA